TGTGCGCCAAGCGCGCAAAATATTTTTGTGTTTTTAATTCTAATTTCGTCGGAATTGATGAAAACTCCCTAAAATGTGCAATTTATAGAGGAAATTGGCCTACCGTAACAAGAAATGCGCGCAAAGAATTTGAGAAAGGCACTTTCAGAGGATGCATTTGTCAAGGGGTGGAGAAAGATTTTCCAAAAATGTATATTTTCCCCCCTTGTCCCCCGGTGTTTTTAATTCTAATTTCGTTTGAATTGATCAAAACTCCCAAAAATGTGCAAATTTTAGAGGAAATTGGGCCATGTTAACAAGAAATGCGCGCGAAATTTGAGGTTTTTAGGCACTTTCAGGGGATGAAAGGGCATTTATAAAGGGGTGGGGAAGATTTTTCAAAGATAGATATTTTCCCCTTGTCCCCCAGTGGTTAGGCCATCGGGCAGCATAAATCAAAGGAGTTATGACAGTTTTTGAAGTGGAGAAGGGGTTGCAGGGTGTTGTGAGTCTGGTCATTATGATATCTTCCTTTTTATTCTTGTCTTTATTTTTCTCTTCTCTTTTTCTATCCTTTTCTTTTCCTCTTCTTTCTCTTTCCCTCCCTTTCCCCTCTTTCTTTTCTCTCATTACCCAGCCCGGTACGACGGCTTGGTCAGCCCGATAAAAACCGTCAGGGAGGGGCAGTTCCCCCCCCCGGCGCCTGTTACGACACTGGCTAACACGCCAATCATCTCCCCCAAGGAAAAATATTTTTCTATGCCACTGTGAAGGTGATGAGATTACGTAATAATTAAATCTTTTTCAGGGGTAATTATTTCGTGTATGAAGGTGATGAGATTACGTCGGTAGAAGAACGGACGTGGGAGAGACGAGACTTTCACTACGACAACGTAATTGCCTCTATGCTAACGCTATTTACAGTCTCGACAGGAGAGGGTTGGCCAGAGTAAGTAACAACCACTAAGGCTTATAATTCGTTTTTGTTGTTATTTAATGTGGTATGACTTTTGTTCCAATTCTTGGCATTTTTTTCACTCAATTTTTACTGAAATCATCACCTATTATGGCACCAGCTAAATTCTTTATTCAATTTTTATTTTCCAGCATTTTGAAATATTCAATGGACGCCACAGCAGAGGGTCAAGGTCCATCCCCTTACACGCGTACGCAGATGGCAATTTACTATGTAGTTTACTTCATTATTTTCCCATTCTTTTTCCTGAATATTTTCGTTGCCCTCATTATCATCACATTTCAGGAACAGGGAGATGCCCAATATGAAGATGGAGATATAGATAAAAACCAGGTAAGAGATTTTGATTTCATGCAGATGATTTTCTGAGAAATTTAGTATAGTGCAGGCCAAATCATTTTTATGGAAGACTGTAATTTTCATACAGAACTTTTTGTCCTGGTCGAACTTGTCTGAGTTTGACTGAGAGGGTAATGCTTCTCTTTCTTGTGCTGTAGAACCTGGTTCAAACCCAGCTAGCGTCTTTTTTTAATAGGATTCTATCACCTGGCTCCTCAAATAACTCTGACACTGAGAGTTTAAATTGCTTTAAGGAACATGCATAATTGTTTTTCATGTGTATGCATTGCATGTTCTGATTAAGACGAGTGGCGCTGCACTGTGACTGCTGCCCGTCCTCAAGGAGCCAGTCCTAAACTTCCAATTCCTGAGTTGACTGAGAACAATTTAAAGAATAATTTTGGTCTTTCACTGCACCCGATGGTCGTCGGCCGACACAATTCTACGAAGAACGCGACTCCACAGCACGCGCGCAAGAAATTGTTTTTAATGACTATTCATTCCGACTGCCACTGACAATCAGTAGACGGTGGTGCGTGGTCTTGCGCTCTCGGGGGGGGGGGGAGTAGAGTTGGATTTGTTTTAAGACCGTCGTGCAACGCAGTGAGTCTCCTGCTTTATTATTTTCTTTTTAAATAGAAAAAATGAAAATTATGGCATGTAATCATCTTTTTTTTTTTTTTTTTTACTATTTTAGAAACAATGTATTGAATTTTGCATCACTGCAAAACCAGTTGATAGGTTTATGCCGAAGGATCAGACAAAATTTCAATTTAAAGTCTGGAAATTTGTGGTTTCGTCTCCCTTTGAGTACTTCATCATGGCTCTGATTGCTATCAACACAATTACTCTTATGATGCCGGTAAGCACATTCTATTCTTTTACATGATATCTTGTGATTGGTTGGTTTTAACCAATGAAAATTCATTAGCCTACTTGATTTACATTGATATTCATGAATATTTTAAAACTACCTGAAAAGATTGATTAATGAATGTACTTAAAATTATGTATGTAGAAATGCATTTTGTTAAATTGTTAAATTTTCATGTAAAGTTCATATTAAGATTTTACATTTTAATAATATATCTATGCATATTCATGATATTTAGATTTTTTATTGGCGTATTTGTGCTTGCAAAACTTTTTGCTGGTTTTGTCTTTAGGCAGGCATGTTCATGAGATTTACATTTTCTCTTGATTTCTTTAATTTTTTTCTTTAGTATTATGATCAACCAGAAAAGTTGGAAGAAATTCTCAAATATTTCAACATTTTTTTTACCACTATGTTTACTGTGGAATGTATTCTGAAATTAGTAGCATATGGAGTGAGGGTAAGTAATATATTTTAACCTCTTGAAACTAGAAAAATAATTTATATTATATAAGATCCATTTTGACTAAGTTTAAAAATTTCAATGCATATCAATGTTATTTATTGAAATATTCGCAACTCACTTATCTATTCTGAAAATGTTGTGCCCCATTCCCCGTTTGAAAACTTCTGGATCTGCCCCCTGTATATTACCCCATTCTATAAAAATATTTATACAAAGAAATGTATCTTAATGGAAATATGTAATAGATTTATATGTCTTGTCACTGAGAATAACAGGAAAAGTCATCTGAGTACTGTCAATTAATTGATTGATTGGGTTACCCTTAATGGCCAAATATTTTAGCAATGAAAATTCATGAATTATATCTAATGAATAATTACTTTTATTTTGCGTGAAACACATTGTATGGTCAGTGGCGTAACAAAGAGACTAGAGGCCCTGGAAGCATTCTATAGCGCCCTACTACTCTGTGGATAAATTTTCACCCGCTTCAGCGCTTTTCGCGCTTTACACATTTCTGCTTCTGTTTTATGTCTGAGGATTTTCAGAGTGACCTGATTGGATAATAACATTTTATATATTGTATTTATATAGAACTACTTCAGAGACGCATGGAACATATTTGATTTCATCTGTGTTATTGGTAGTATTACCGATATCATGGTATCCGAATTTGGGGTAAGTACTTGATTCACAGTCAGTTTTATATAGCAATTAGGTGAAATCGATTTTCTTCCAAAAAAGGAAAATAGAACAGTTCCAAGGGCATGTTTGAATATCTATTTTACTTATGAACATACCATGTTTTGTATTAAATTTTGGGTTTTTGATTCATTTTATTTTTTTTAACTATTAATTTTGAAAAAAAAAAAATTGTATGCAACTTGGTATTTTAAACAAAATTATGTATTTTCTTCAAACTACTATATTTAATACTTTATTTCATTCAAGTGACTTTATTCTCTATAGTGAAATTTTTACCTATCACTGCATTTATTATTAGTATGTTGTCAAGTTGTCCTCCATGTGTTTCTTGATTAAGGAGTATATGTTCAAAGTCAAAGCCAAAAATATGAATTGTTTTGCAATATCGTAGTAGTATTGATATTTAAAATTCAAAAACTCTTATAAATTTCACTTTAATTATATTTAAGTAGTTCCTTTGGATAATTTTTGGTCATTTGTTATGATTGCATAACTTCAAAAAAAAGAAAAAATAAATAAATAAATAAATAAATAAACCTTCAATAAATGCATGTATTAAAAACAAGTATCTAACTCAATATGAATACAAATATTTTATTTATACACAAATTTTATACTTCTGTCAGAAGAAAATTCTGGAAAACTAATATTTTATTTGTTGATCATTACCTTGCTTAGTGATGATAACGTGATAATATGAATGATATGTACTTGCTAATATAGCATAATTTGTTTGAAGAAACTAATGACCTGCTAAAGTGTACAGTTAACCTGCTAAGTACACTACTGACATGCTAAATACACTATTAACATACAAGGCATACTGTTAACCCACCTGCTCATGTGTTAGCCTTTTACCATCATGCTTAATTGCATTTGTTTGTGTTTTGATTAACTGCATTTAATGCTTCTTAAAAGTTAACCCAAAGAAAATGCTCTGCCCATCTCGAGATACCAGTGTAAACCAGTGTATATTTATATAAGGCTATATATGGTTAATGTTAACAAGAGAGGGGTTTCTCTTTGGTTTATTGTGGTACATGAAATGCAAGCTTAAGTTAATACAGATAACCTTTTGCACAAATCAATGTACAAATATGATACCAACGATGATGATTGTTGCTTGGTGAGAGAACCTTCCACTTCTCAGGGAAACCCCTCTGTTTAGTGTTCCTTGGATGTTGACGTGCAACTAAAAGCTTTTTTAAAGATATTTCCTCCCTCATCACACATATTAAATGATAAAAACTACTAGTATTCATTTTACCAAGGAAATCCCATGTACAATGTTGTAATGAGTATTATATGAGTATTATTATTGTTTATCTAATGTGTTTATTTTTGGTTTGCTTATTGGATTTTTAAACTGTACTATTCATATATTCATTAATGTACATAATTAATAATCTGTTTATATATTAATGTCCCCTCATCCCTGTCTTGTTAGTGCGCCTTACAGAAGGGCCTATACAGCAGTCATAGTAGTTTTAACCAGCCAATCTCCTCTCATATGACACCTCATCAACTGTTGCCACCCCCTCTGCCACAAAAATACCCCCACCTGTCTTTCCCTATTTATCCATTCCTTTTAATGCTAACCATGTACTGCATTTTGTGTTTTTCTTCCTCCCTACATAGAATGTAAGTATTGATATGTGGCCCCTTGCCATCAGCCACACAGTATGGAATGCTAGTATGAGAACCAAAATGCCTACTTGGCAATGCACTACTATTAATTTTTTTGTAATGTTAGTGTGGACAGTACACATTCTATGTACAACCCCTGCTTCATCTCTCTGTCAATCGTTCTCTACTCATTCGTAGAATAAGAGAAATAAAAACTACGTAAAATATGACAAAAATGTCAGATATTTTGGCGAGTAATTTATTTTATACATTTATGGCTGGTTTTTCAATCTCAAATAATTAAACAATTGAATGAACATAATATTTTTGGCAGATTTATATTTATTATCATTATGAAGACCAGCGTCATATTATAATTAAATTAATAGTTCAGATTTTGCAGGGGATGTACAAAATCTAACTGCTACTGTATATAATATGTATTGCCAATGTCATTATTGACAATATAATTTATATACAAAGTATCAGTTAGATTTTCTGTGTATATGTTGTATATTGCCATTATTATAACACTGATTCACTATATATTTTTTGTTATCCAAGTGTGTTCCATGTAGTAAACTAACTACACCTATTTTCATCCAAATTTTATTTTTGTTGGTGGTTGATGTGATATGCAGTTTTTTAAATCAAATTGCTTATGTCTCATTTAGTCTTCACATGTTTTAATTCTTTTTAACTTTCTGGACCAAAATTAAATATTTTAATATTCTAAGTAACATAAAACAAATGACAAAAAGGGATACATATTACAAATACTCTTTTTGAAATGCCAAAATGATTTATTTAAATTCTGTCAACAATTATTTCCTGAATATGTAACTGAAGCTCTTTTTTATTGGTTGAGGTTAATTCTAGGACATTTGGTTCTGGTTATTCGAAAACTGTTAACAACTAATAAAAAAAAAACACCACAACTTCCATCCTGTGATGGACCTTTCACTGCCCCTTTGGCATTCTTGTCTCTGTTCTGATTGGTTCATTGTTCAGTTTGATTGACACTCCAGAAAAGTCTATTACCTAAAAAGTGGATACAAATTTGTTTGTCATGCTCACCAAATCATGTTTGAATAAACTTTTTCAGATAAATTGGAGCATTGGCTGACATTTTAACAGACATGGAAAGACACTGATATATTTAACTCCACACACTATCAAAGTTTGATGAATTATCGTATGTTCAGTATGATTGTCTATGCCTGCCATCCTTACTGATGCTCAAAAACAATTTAATAATGAAAACTAAAATACGAAATAAAAGATTTGTAGTAAATTCTAATTGAACCTTAAACCGAACCCTGAATTTTTCACAGAAACCATCAATGTAGACTCTTGTCTGGCTGTACCTATGTATAAATATTGTACTTTGTTGTACTAATTGTATCAATGTTTGCCTTGCAGTTGTTATAGCTTGCTTTTACACAAATTCATATCAGCTGTGTGCTTTTTAGAAGCTGCACCCTGCAAAAATACCAACTAACTATCAGTGTCCACTCATGATTTTAATCACAATTTTTTCCATAATTTAATATTTAATTGTCACCACATGTGTGATTCTATAT